TGCCAATTGCAGGTAAGACAATTATTTATATTTTTATCACAGTGCTGCTCTTTCAGTAGCAAACAAGCTTACCTTTTAAGCTAGTCATTTCACGGTTTAGTAATTATTATTTCCTTCTTGAATTAGTTGGGTAGTTGTTTCACCAGACGTCCCCGGAATGCAGGAATGGGTACGAGGTCTTACACCAACAAATCTGAGTTGTGTTTGACTTGCTGTTATCAATCGAGAACAAATAGAGCTTATTGCACATACCTGCTGTAGTTAAATTTACAGTCGCAAAAAGGATTCAAGGCATGACTACTGATTTACTATCGGTTTATCCCTATTTTTTGTCATGCACCGGTGGCACTCTCCTTGGAATTTGCTATTATCTATATACATTTCGTGTAAACATTCTGTGTTTTGCTTGCATAACCACAACACTGCACTTACTGTTACACAGGATTAGGGAAGGACTGTTAACAATGCCTTGTCCATCGTTTTTTAGGTTGGTTCATGGTTTTNCGTCCATACTTGGCAACAAGTACACTGCCAATTGCAGGTAAGACAATTATTTATATTTTTATCACAGTGCCGCTCTTTCAGTAGCAAGCAAGCTTACTTTTAAGCTAGTCATTTCACGGTTTAGTAATTTATTATTTCCTTCTTGAATTAGTTGGGTAGTTGTTTCACCAGACGTCCCCGGAATGCAGGAATGGGTACGAGGTCTTACATCAACAAATCTGAGTTGTGTTTGACTTCGCTGTTATCAATCGGGAACGAATAGAGCTTATTGCACTTACTTGTTGTAGTTACATTTACAGTCGCAGAAAGGATTCAAGGCATGACTACTGATTTACTATCGGTTTATCCGTATTTTTTGTCATGCACCGATGGCACTCTCCTTGGAATTTGTTATTTTATATATACATTACGTGTAAACATTCTGTGTTTTGTTTGCATAACCACAACACTGCACTTACTGTTACACAGGATTAGGGAAGAACTGTTAACAATGCCTTGTCCATCGTTTTTTTAGGTTGGTTCATGGTTTTACAAGCTCTGGCATGCTTGAAAACCAGAACCAAGGCTTTGCTGAGGCTGCAAAACTTGGCAATGTTGGAGACAAGTATATTGATTTTGGTGAGCTCTCGATATAGTCAATGTTTCTTTGTGTAATACTATTA